ACGGTTTTATTCATAGTCATCCCTAAAGTGCCCCTCGCCCCAAATAATTTTTTTTTAAATAAAATTAATTTTGTTGCGGAATTCTTAGAACCCCCCTCGCTGATTCAAACACAGGCGGCACAAGCTCCAGCTGTGAAATGATCATCTTGCGCAATAACAGTCATGGCGGAATTATTAGAGTTTGTATGGGAATATTTGCGACCGCTTTAACGAATTAAAAAATGCGTCAAATTCTCAATAAAAATACCTCACCTTACTTCCACAGCGTATCACTTGTTATCTGACCGCTTACTTTGATGAAAAGAACCCATTTTAGCGAGTTGTTCACTTCGAGGTTTTCCACGTACATAAGAAAAGGGCTTTTTTCTCTTATTTTTTTTCCTTCTCGCGACTACGCATCTTGGAACCTGGACCGGGGAAGGTTGTTACGTCATCCCGGGGACCACGCTACAAGGCTGCAATGAAGGACCGCACAAAGTATCTACTGAGAGCCATATCATCTAGAGACTCAAACTCGGACAGAGAATATACGACTCCGAAGCATCCGAAGCTTTTAATCCCTGGGTATGACGCAGAGGTGGAGGAAATCGATTCTGCGCTGGAAGCGAAGCCTCGATGAAATAAAGTCAAGAGATCCCTGACCCTTCTAAGGAAAAACTCTATCAGATTCTTAAGAGCTCGTCTTGAGAAGGTCACATGCCCAAAAATCCAAAGTTACAACGTATGGGCGAACATCGCGATCGATGAAGGTTTTCAATCAGATATCTACCGTATTTCTTCACCTATAAGCCGAGCGATTTTTCAGTATTTGACACAAAATTTTGGGAGATTTTTTCACAAGAAACGGGGTTCGGCTTATAGCCGAGGGTTTGGGATTAAAAAACAAGTACAAATTAAATGTTAATGCGGAATGACCGCAAATTGCGTGACTGCAGTGATCTTTAGGTAACATGCTTTAAAATTGTCATGACAACAACGTATTTCTGACCACTAATCAGATTCTTTGCTTCCCACGCATTGAAAGACGATCTCACTCAACTCGGCAAAAACTCTTCTCATTTCACATTAGAACGTAGAATCAGAGGACAAAGATTCAATTCATTTAAAATCGAGTAATGTAAACAAATTATAGCCACGGAACCGAGACCTAAACAGAACAAGATCGACAAGCTTCTTGTAGTTTGAGAACACGAACAGGCAATAAAGAAGTTGACTCTTGCACGTGTGGACTCTGTGCCTCCTCAGGAAACAAACAACGAGGGTGAAGCATAATTCAAATAAATGAGGCAGTCAAAAATGGCAAAAAATAACACAGAGACAAAGGCAAAAGGATTTAACTTATAACTTGAGAGGTAGTGGTGTTAACCATAGCATGCCATAGTTTAATCTATCATGAATCATGAGTCCTTTTAAAATTTACACTGATTTCCCCCACATTCATCTAACTGGTGTCGGACTTCCGTAGGAAATTGTTTTAACCAATCTTTTTTTCATCATCAGCCAACCTTAATAATGCAGATTATTCTTATTTCCCTTGGGTGGTTTTGAAAACAATACGCATAGTTACCACTTGTTTCGCGCCTCCAAGATTATAATATTTCATGGAAGGATAGAAGGAAACCAATTTGGCTATCAATTCAAATACTTGCCAAATGCTCGCATTTTACAATTTGTTTAGTGGAAACGTTTTGGGCTATTTATAAAGCAATATCGATCAAGCCACTTCAAACTGTAAATCGCATTTCGAGAAGTATCATGAACTATGAGTTCTTTTAAAATTTATACTGATTTCCCCCACATTCATCTAACTGGTGGCGGATTTCTGTAGGAAATTGTTTTTTACCAATTTTTTCTTTCCTCATCAGCCAACCTAAACTTTCCTTTAATTTGGAGATGAGACGAGGATCACGCCATCATGGCAGGTGTGAACTTTAGCCTATCACGTGTAAAATATGTCGGGGAATAGGGCTTTTGTTTAAACTCTATAAAATATTACTATTAATTCATTTGTTTTTGGAAAAAGAAACTTAGGCTTGAATTTGGGAATAGCGCTAAAGGTTGGTGTCATGTGTTGGGACGACTGGAGTGTAAAATGGCCATAGCCCTGTCTGCTTTCTCTGCTTGAAATTCTGTGGTCTTTATAAATACATATATCAGTTCTAAAGCTGAATTGTGTATTTACATAACAAATATTGATTTATTCAAATATATTCATAAACTAATCTATCTTAAATAAAGGGATGAAAATAAAGCTAAAGGACACAAGCTGTGTGTAAAACTTCTGAAAAGTTGCTGCTCAATGATGTCCATGATTAATAACTTTCAAGTTGATTGTAGGTACGAGTTCCCATACAATATTTTTCAGTTTATTTCAAAGTAAATGATTTAGTTTAGGATCAAACAATGGATAAATCTAGAACATTCATCACTTTACGCTTCTCTTTGGTGGATCGATCTGCAGAGGAAACCGTAATCAGCAAAGTCCTTTGACTGTCAATTTTACGGTCCAGTTGAATGAAAGAAAAAAAAATTATAATTTCCATTTCATGAGCTACTTTTTCGCGGCTAACTATAGAATATAAGCCCACTTTGAACCAACCTTCAAACAAGGTGGCTCGGATCCGTTCTCCTACGCACATATTCTTGTTCTTTGGTCCATTGCCGAGCCAAACGAGTTGCAAGACATACGTTCCTTAAAAGTGGCCTTGTTTTATGTACATGCTTTTTTTTCGCTAATAGCTTACATTCCTGTTATAAAACAGATGCAGTTACAGTTTTAAATTTGTTGCCCACATAGCTCGAATTTATCAAATCATGCAAAGTCATCGGTAAAACGATTCCGACTGCAAATTTGGTGATCATTGGAAACAGAACCTCCTTGAAAATTGCGACTTCTTCCAAATCTTCATACAGCAGTTCGGAATGGGGCACGCCACTAAGGATTAACACCAGACAAGCTAGTAATAGCGCTGCGATCGCCATGGGCATCTTGTTCTCCTTTCAAAATCTCCATACTGATAAAGAAGTGTCCGTCGCTGACTGTGACTCTGTTGAATCGGTTTCGAGGTTTTTGGTAAGAGTTACTGCAAGGAGAAACACGGCGAGTGATACAGTCACAAAGAAGGCAACGTCGAACACCACCTTAGAAATCAGCGAATGAGAGAAACAGTTGTGCCACAAGATCATTGCGGAGCCGACAAATCCAAGACCAAGTTCGGCAAATATTCGGACTTTCGGATAAGGGCACTTTCTTTTCATTTCACTTGAGATGTTCCAACTAAACAGTCATCATCGCCGTCAAATTACAAGTCTGGTAGAACATCACAGAGAGACACAGGACTCTAAAGAAGCTGCATGTTTCACCAGGGAGAATGGTGGAGCCATTCCACCATTCTACAGAATCCGCAACAAGAATTATGACTTGGCAAGCGCCTTGACAAAGAGCCAATACTCTGCACCTTTTAAGAAACTCGTACTTCGATTTGTATTTGAAGCAGGTTCTTAGCAGTCGAACATCGAAAAAGACTGCGGCTAAATTCATTCCAGATATCAAAAGGAGAAGTAACCGTGTCATACTGGGATTGTGTGTGTCCTCACAGGCGGCCCAAGCTCCAGCTGTGAGATGATCATCTCACAGCTGGAGCTTGGGCCGCCTGTGGTGTCCTTCACGTTGTAGACGTTAGTAGTCCGTATTGAATTCAGTTAGAATTCCAGTCGACGGGTGTCTATATAATAACGTGACCTGTCAGGTAACGCGTGGTCACGTCAGCACTACAGGTCGCTGTTACGTAACCATCTTGAGTGATCATAGAAAAGGCTTGGTCACTTTGGCTTGTGTTCACGCGCCTGTAAGACGCCAGGGAAATAACACACAAAAATGGTGTTTTTTCCGCAGGGTAGTGAGTGTCAGGCATCCGTGAAAATGAAGGGCTTATTTTAGCTGGTCTTGCCCTGATTTCCTGCAAAAATGACCAAATAGACCTTGATTCCTCAGCAATGGATCACAGATAACTTCAAAAGACATATCAGCCATATCACTGATGTTCTTATCATATTTTGATGTCTTTTATGATCTATAACTGAACAGACGAACGAACGGGAAAATGGAATCTGTTTGTTTTCTAGAACACGATATCGTTAATATGGTGATCAACGTCATCTTTGCGCCTGGAACCAATCAAAACGCGGTCTAATTCATACCGGTCTATTTCTAATGCAGTATTAACCAAGCGTGAGGTCAAGATGGCTGGATATAGGCCGAGTTCTTTTTTTGTGCGTTTCTATGGACCTAGACGAATTTGAGTTCAGCATGGAAAACCGAAAGAAAGAACGAGGCTAATATCCAGCCATCATGAGCGAAAAGGCTTGGTCAATACAGGATTTATTAAAGAGCGAAAAGAGTATTTAAGAGCAAATATCTGTTCTTTTAAGCACTGACATTTTGACACAATACTATTCTAAAACAAAGCCAGAGTCCCAAAAATAAGATTTAAGTGCTTGCTAATTATTTTTTCGTGTAATTTGCATTTCTTTATTTGGTCCTTAATTTTCTCAACTTCCTCGTCAGTGTTTTTCGTTAAGTTTGTTAAACGTTTTCTTCGTCAGTCACACCTTTTTTACGCGTTCCTCATACCGCATATTATTGCCCACTCCTCTTGTATCCAAAGCCAGTTTCCTTTACGCATAATCACTTTTGTAGGTCAGTTTACCTAAAGCCGCCCTTAGCGCAGTTCTCTATTCAGAAATCTTTCAGTTATTCTCGATTGCAGTTAAATATTAGGCGTTATCAATGTAAGTAATTTTTTCCTCTTCGCTTCGTTTGTATTACATGATAAGGGAG